TAACCAAAAATTATAATTTTTCAACATTTTTTTTACATTTCTATTTAATTTTTTTTATATTTTTTTTTTACATACTGTCACCCTAGCAGTACAGTGTCACCATAGTGACACTGTACTACTTGTGGGGGGTGAAGAAGATTTTTTTTTTTTCTTACATTCTTGCAGCCATTGAGAAATACTGTGAGAGCTGTGATTGGTCACAGCTTGTCACATGGTACAAGGCTGTTGTGAATAGCCCTGTACCATGTGACCTCTGATCATTCACAGAATTCACACGTAGTAAGCAATGATGTCAGGAAGTGACATCTTGCTTACTACTATTCATGTGATCACTGATTGGCCAATCAGTGATCACATGATCGGGACCTTACACAGAGGTCTCGTTCAGCGATCGGTGTTCCGCTGTGTCTTCCAGACACAGCGGGCACCGCATCATGGTGCTGCGCGCTCCGAGGGAGCGCGCGCAGGCTAAAACGCCGGGTGCCGTTTATGAATGGCAACCCACTCCTGCACTGCTCCCGTCCAGCCGTTTATATACATGGGCTGGACGGGAAGTGGTTAAGGCCCCAATATTTTATTTTGACTGCAGAGTACCTCAGTAGAATGTTAACCACCTCCCGTCCGCCATATAGTCCAATGACGGGCGCAAGGTGGTTCTCTCGTTCTAGGAGGACGTCATATGACGTCCTCCCATTCTCACTGCACATACGCGGCTCAGGGAGCGCACAGCGCGGCGATCGGCGGTGCGCTGTGTCCCTCGGACACAGCGGATCACCGATCACGGAAAGAGCTGAAGATATCGGCTCAGTCATGTGATCAGCTGTGTCCAATCACAGCTGATCACATGTAAACACGGAAATGCCAATTATCGGCATTTCTCTCCTCACGAGCTGTCACGCTGACAGCTCGAGAGGAGAGCCGGTAATCGGCTTTCCGCGGAGAGGCATGTACACTGATCATCAGGGCACTGATGATCAGTGTGCCCTGATGATCAGTGTAGCCCCAGCAGTGCCAGCTGTCAGCGCCGATCAGTGCCACATATCAGTGCATACCAGTGCACATCAATGCCACATATCATTGCCCATCTGAGCTGCCTTTCAGTGTCTTCCAACAGTGTGCATCAGTGCCGCCTAACAGTGTGCATCAGTGCCGCCTAACAGTGTGCATCAGTGCCGCCTAACAGTGTGCATCAGTGCCGCCTAACAGTGTGCATCAGTGCCGCCTAACAGTGTGCATCAGTGCCGCCTAACAGTGTGCATCAGTGCCGCCTAACAGTGTGCATCAGTGCCGCCTAACAGTGTGCATCAGTGCCGCCTAACAGTGTGCATCAGTGCCGCCTAACAGTGTGCATCAGTGCCGCCTAACAGTGTGCATCAGTGCCGCCTAACAGTGTGCATCAGTGCCGCCTAACAGTGTGCATCAGTGCCGCCTAACAGTGTGCATCAGTGCCGCCTAACAGTGTGCATCAGTGCCGCCTAACAGTGTGCATCAGTGCCGCCTAACAGTGTGCATCAGTGCCGCCTAACAGTGTGCATCAGTGCCGCCTAACAGTGTGCATCAGTGCCGCCTAACAGTGTGCATCAGTGCCGCCTAACAGTGTGCATCAGTGCCGCCTAACAGTGCCAGTGCGTGCCGCCTAACAGTGCCATCACTGATGGGCCTTTCAGTGCCCATCAGTGATACCTGTCAATGCCCATCAGTGCCACCTACCAGTGCAGCCTATCAGTGCCAATCATTTTCAGTGGTTTTTGGTTTAAGAAAAAATAAAAAACCCAGAGGTGATTAAATACCATCAAAAGAAAGCTCTATCTAAAATGATAAAAATTTCATATGGGTGCAGTGTTGCATGACCGCGCAATTGTCAAAGTGCGACAGCGCTGAAAGCTGGAAATTGGCCTGTAAGTGCCCAGTAGGCTAGTGGTTAAAGCTGAACTCAAGGCAAACAGCTAAGATACACATAACCCATGTGATTCACCTACCAAGGGATTTGTTTCTCCATCCAGTCTGGAGATATATAAAAACCCAGACTGATGGTACTAGATCAGGGGTGGGCAAACTTTTTGACTTGAGGGCCGCAATGGGTTCATATATTGGACCCGGGGGCCGGACCAAGAGTAGATGAATGATGTGTATGTGTCATCCATAGTAAGTATAGTAATATTCCCCCATAGTAAGCATAGTAATTAATCCCCCATATAGTAATTCATCCCCCCATAGTAATTCATCCCCCATAGTAATTCATCCCCCATATAGTAAATTCATCCCCCATATAGTAATTCATCCCCCATATAGTAATTCATCCCCCATATAGTAATTCATCCCCCCCATAGTAATTCATCCCCCATATTAAGTCCCCAAGTCCCCCCTGTGTCAATTCACTTACCTTTGCTCCGCACGTTCCTCTCGCCGTGTTCCCGCGCCGTTCCGGTGTAGCATGAAAATCTGTCTCCTATGAGGATCTGTCCCCCTCGACGTATCTGCGCATGTGCCAGTTTCAGGCATTAGCAGCCGATCGGCGATCTCCGGCACATGCGCAGATACGTCGAGGGGGACAGATCCTCATAGGAGACAGATTTTCATGCTACACCGGTCCTCAGGGCGGACTGTGAGAGGAGCCTAGCGGGAGCCTAGCTCCGCGGGCCGGATTAAAGGGTCCGCCAGGCCGTATACGGCCCGCGGGCCGTAGTTTGCCCATTGCTGTACTAGATCCTTAGGAAGGTACACTTGGGTAATAACTGATGTATGTGACAGAAATGTGTCAGGTTTTCTATCAGTTGCTGAACTAGGGCTGAGTGTTCACAACACAGAGTATAAATTTTCAATTTGAGTCCTTACCAGCCGATACGATTTCATTAAAGCCCTAATGAAGGAGAAAAAGTGTAGTCCTCAAAACACGCTGGCTGTAGCGCCTGCCATATGTTCGGAAAACAAAAAACCCTCATTTCCGACTGGCACTTCGATTTTCACACTTAGACCTCATGTAGATAATTTAAACAGCAACAACAGGTTAAATGTCCTCTATTATGCAGGCCATAGACGGGTCATTTATCGCCCGAATTTTCGTCTGCACGAAAAATCGGCCAATATTCATGCCGTTAGTGGGGTCAGCCCGTCGGCCGTTTTTCGCGGATCTTCTCATTAATTTTTATTGGTCATGCTGGAAAAGGCACGAAAAACGGCCTTTTTTCGTGGACATTGGTGGCAGCAACGACAGATTTTGCGGTTTATCGTCCGATAAACGACCTGTCTATGGCCAGCCTTTATGAATACCTGCATTCATTTGTGTCTCTTATATCGGTCTGGATTTTGGCTTTAATTGTGCACATTTATTACTTCTTTAGAGGTATAAATGATCTAGCAGAAGAATTTGCACTTGCATATTTTAGCAAAATATCACCAGCCAAGAGGAATAACAGCTTGTCAACACAGCACATTATACAAAACGCACTGCAGTGTTCTGTTGTGTAATTACACTAGATAAACACTGTTGCTTACTTAGGCAAACACAGCTACATGCCAAAGGACATACATTTGTTCTCTGTGGAGTTTCACTGCTTTATCACAGAAATTTTTCATTGCGCCACACAACATAACACACATACCTAAACAGGAATGTCTAAAAATACCACGTAACCTATTCACACCCAGAGAAATACTGACCAGCCTAACGTAGAAGTATTTAAAACAACAGATCTCCAGTTACATACTATAGATACAAATGTAAAAAAAAACATATCAAAGATTAAAAAAAGATATGAAATGTCTTGACTGAAGAGTCATCTACATGGCTGTCTGTCAGCAACAGCAATCATGCAGCACTGAGCGTCATTCACTTACATAAATGAATCTCAAGAATCCATAGAACTTAAGTCTACAGAATACCACGAATCAAGCTCCCCTGTCCTATACAACATTTTATTTAAAATTACTTTTAAAATGAATCAAATAATATTGGTCAGAAAATAAATGCAGACAGAGAAAATTGTAGTATCCCTGTACATCAGTGGTCTCCAAACTGCATCTCGGGGGCCAGATGTGGCCCCTTGCTTGCCTCTATCTGGCCCTTGGGACAATATTCCTCCAACTGATCCCAAATGATGAGGCACCATTTCCACCCAATGACACCATTAATGGGGCACTATTCCTCCCACTGACACCATCGATGGGGAACTATTCCGCACATTGTTTGTTTATAAACCATGGGGAGCTATTGCTTCTTTTAAAGCCAATGATGGGGCATGGTTTACTCCCACTGATGCCGGGACATTTTCTACTCACACTGGCAACAGTCCGATCCCCCTAAAGCCTGAAAGACAGTAAATTGGATATTTGTAAACAAAGTTTGAGGACCCCTGCTTTACATGGATGATCAGTGGGAACCGTGCCCCCTTTACTAATGTAGTCAGTGGGAGAAGGATCCTTTTACACTGGTAGTCAGGGGAAAAAATGCCCTACTATATTGGTGAATAATTGGAAGAATAACCCTTTACATTAATGGTCACTGGTATCATGCCACTGACTGCTAAATAATTAAATGTCAAGGTTTCATTTCTCTGGGCCACAACAGTCTGTGTTTAATTTGATGTAGGCCCCCTCTTCTAGTTTGCCAATGGTCTTGGATTCCTAGCTCCAGTAAAACATAACTTTGGACACCAGGGTTAGTGCGTAATAGGCCAACAGCTCACTAGTTTTACTATTCTATGAATGGTATCTGCATTGAAAATAGATGAGCTCTGAGATAATTAGTGCCACTATGTTTCTGTTCTTAAATTGTACATGTGGAATTGCTTCTGAAGTCACATTTGTAAAGTTAAAATTTGATTTAGAAAAAACCCACGTTCCAGTTAAAAAAAATAACAGAATCCTGGCGTTACTAGTAGTGTATCACACTGTATATTATGCCAATAAAACAAGCAGTACACCAACATCAATACATGCAATAATGGCAAACCAACACCGTAGGATCCCTCTGAAAAATGTGATTGTTTGGTAATGCATACCTGGAGAGGAGAATATTGCAGTTCTGTGCTCTTCTTCCATCTATTACAGAGAGTTCCTTCACCTTCATCTTGGAGCCCAGTGTATCATCAGTGGTATCCGCTTCTTTCTGTAAGTGCCACAAGATAAAGAACAGTCTTCAGTTTCGGTCAAAAACACTCTGAGAAACCATATCTAAAATACAAGTGACCGTATAAGAAAAGGGTAGAGAAAACATAAGCACTGCTAAGGTTGTAAATGATCCTGGGTAACCATGGGTAGTCTACAGACAAAGGTGGGCATGACCCCTGTTCCTACCCTTTCAATCTTTCTCTGGCTTCTTCTTTCTCCCTCTTTTACCATTTTTTAACATTTTGTTACCCACCTACACCCTTTGTGGCTTTTGTGACTCAATATATGACTTGGGTCTATATCCTTTTGTTTAGACTTTGCAACAATCAGTGTCTACCAATATGCTGGATGATTACAAGCTAATTATGTCTATTTTAGGTGTTCCAAAACTTTGAATTGTCATCGCTTCATTACGCAATGTCTGCACCTTCTGACTATAGCAAACAATTGATCTTGAGAACATCATTCAATGGGGAAGCAATGACAGCAGACAACTGATCTTGGGGACAGGAGTCAGTGGAGTGGTTTGACTGGCCCAGATGGGTTTAAGGAAAATAAATAATAGTAGTGTGCACTCGGCTTTACTAAACAAAGTTTTCAGCATTCCCTATAAAGGCCAACTTGTATTCTAGATTTCAATATTTCAAGATAAAGTTGTGTAAAGGTTTTAATTAATGTGATTCATTCACAGACTAAGTTTAGAAAAACATTTCCTATTTTAGGTATTATCAGTGCAAAAGAAAAATCTTGCATCCATACAAAACCTTGGTTTAAATGTGTTAAAACATGCAACAAAAACACGCTAATGGTACCGGAAGATAAAAGGTGTCTATTCTTGAGAATGCCTGCATGTTTAAAATAAACAATGCTCTTAGTATGAAACAGAGAGATCATCAGTAGGCTTATTTGTAACTGATATACTGTTTTAAACTTATCAATTCTCATCAGTGCAGGATGATTTCTGTGGAGATGGTATTCAGGCGCCATACTGAGCTACCATTAAGGTTGTGGTGAGGATTTACAAGGGGTGGTACTAGGGTCAGTAAAGATCTAGACATACATAGATACCATTTTATCAAAGTGATAATTTGTGGTTTGTGCAACATGCTACTGCAATGAGAAGATATGTTCAAAATAGTTATGGGAAGTAAAGTACACCTGTGCAGACAATGTGATAACGAGCCTGTATATTCAACACATAATAATGCAAAAGCTTACCCCCCCAAACCAAATATCCTCGGCAAATAGATTTTCTGAAAGTTAGCACTTGCATAGGCTTTATTCCTCCCCCTCCCTTACATGACAGTGCTGTGGCCAAGTCATAGGTAAGCCTATGGTGTATCAGGGGAAAGGAGAGGAGTGCTCATAATTAAGGTGGCCTAGAGAAATCAGCTGGCATCTCCAACCAACCTATCCACAGGAAGAAAAAAAAAAAAAAACTGTTGTGTTGGATGTTTTTAGCCAATATATTTTCCCACCCCTGCATCATAATCCAGCATCTAACGTATCCAGCTATGCTCCTCCACTCTTGTCCAATGACAATCATACTTTAAAAAAAAAAAATTCCTTCTACAGTCGGATTCGGGCCTTTAATGTCTATGTATGCAAACCTTTACTCCCAGCAGAACATGTTTCTAGCATAGGGAAAAAACAGTTTCAAGGATCTTAAGGAGGACATGCAGCACTCATTGAAATTAGAGGAGAAAAGGTTTAACCTGAAGGCCACATGCACACCATGGTGCACAGAAATCAGTTTTTCTGCACGGGCACAAAAAATAATTGTTCTCTAAGTTTCCATCAGTTCTTCTGCACGTATGGCGCAAACAAGGCCTAAATTGCGCAGAGGGTGCTTTACTGTCAGAGCGGAAAAGATGTGGAACTCCCTTCCGCAAGCGGTGGTGTCAGCAGGGAGTCAATAGTTTAAAAACTATTAGATAGGAATCTTAGAGAATGCAATATACAGGGATATTGTTATTATTGACAAACACATGCACACACCCACAAACATTGAACTGAATGAACTGGTGTCTTTATTCAACTTTACCAGCTATGTAACTATATAAATCAAAAAGTGTTGCCAACGTTATTTGGAAAATAATGGAAATAATACCCTTAATACCATACATGGAATGCTTCAGATCTATTAAAGGGTTACTCCAGGTAGTAACCATGACTTTAGTGCTTGAAGAGCCTTACTGCTCCACAGAAGCTTGGATGCCATGTATTGCCCTGATGAGACTTATAAGCTGTATGCAATTTATTCAAAGAACTCTTTGTTTAGGTTGTATGTTCTATAAACCAATTTTTATGGATGAACAGTTGGCCACAGGGGCATTAAAGAATGATTTGCACATCTCTGTTTCCGGCCTTTAGAAATATATTTTAAGTATTTTTAATAAAACCATTAAAATAAAATGCAGCATGCAGCAAGCAGCTCACTTACCTGTTTAATGCCATTGTTGATCGAGAAATCCTGTAGCCATGTCAGCAGCGAAGCATGGGAAAAGGCAATCATTGCGTGCAATTCAGCGGTGGCAGCAAATTAAGACAAGAGTGGCCAAAGCAGATCAGCAAGATATACAGTACATCATAGAAAGAAGCTTGTAGCAAAGAGGCATACAGAAGAAACACAGGCTCAGTGATGTCAACAGACTGTGAAAACTAATCAAAGTCATCATCTAACAGCCAACGGGACAATTACAATTAATGATACACATCATGCAGGGGTGACTGGGGAGTGGTGTCAGTCTGAAAGGTCGGTCCTAATTAGAAATACTGACTGACACAGCACTTAAAGTTAGCATGCTGTGTTATATAGTGTTTTGGGTACAACAAAGCACAATACAACACGACCCCCCAAACTCCAGTAGAAATGTTTTAATAACTTACATTACAAATCTAAAGAGCAACTGCAATTTCCAAGTTTTATTTTAGATATGCGTGTAAAACAGATCAGCTTGATGTACAGCAATGTGTGATATATCTTCTAATTCTGTATGTACATGAGGGTTGCCATACTTGCCCAATGCATATTCAGGCTCTGCTTTGTACTACTACACAATGGCTGTATTGCTCATTTTCCCAATAGAAGCGTCAGAGTAGGTCAACTCAAAACCAATACACTCCCCGAGTGGCTAACATCTCATCTCTCTACTGAAGTTATCCTTTAAGTAACCCTCCTATACCCTCGAGTGCAGCCAGCAGGTAAAATACTTACTTTTACCCTTGTTTCAGCAATCTGCTCTGGAAATCATGAGGATGCCATAAGTATGGGTCACCCACATGAATAAATAGGATAACCGTGCATGTGTGCAGAAAGAAGAGGACATTTTCTGTGAAAAGGCTTGGAGGTGCCAGGAAGGGCTGCACACTAAATGTTGCTGAAATGGGGCGGAAGATAAATATTTTACCAGATGGGCTGCACCTAATAGGGGTGGAAGGGTAACTTAAAGGACAATGTTACTAGAGGCGATGTTGTGTTTTATTAAGGTTAGCACTGCAAAGGAACACAAAATATGTGCTCAATAAACCTTCTTAACCTGCAAGACTCCTTCCTGAATAATCTCATACAGACTCATATGTGTACATGGTGATACATAATATTTCCCACAGTTGGATCTAAAATCATTTATACAGCAAAGAAGTTTATAGTGGTTACAAAATAAAATATATAGGGGATTAGAACTCTCCAAGCACTTTATACTGCCAAAAAAACACCTCTCCAGATGCAGAACACAGCAAGCATCGTGTACTAAAGGAAACCTGACATGAACAAAATCTGTGGAGTGCCTTTGTTGAACTTCTGAAAATGCTGGGTTGTTGGCAAGCCAATCCTCAGGTTTGCGAACTGTCTGGGTCTCTGACCTGCAATGACTTTGCAACAAGTGAAGTCAAAACTTCAGATATGTATGATTAGCCCCGGGTCAGTGGTCCTGAAAGTGTTTAACCACTTCAAGTCCGGACACTTTCACCCCCTTCCTGTCCAGGCCAATTTTCAGCTTTCAGCGCTATCACACTTTGAATGACAATTGCGCAGTCATGCAACACTTTACCCATATGAATTTTTTAGCATTTTTTTGAGACAGATAAAGCTTTATTTTGGTGGTACTTATTCACAACTGGGATTTTTATTTTTTTTGTTATATAAATGAAAAAGTCCACAAATTTTGAAAAAAAGTGTTTTTCTTATAAAATTTTGCAAATAAATAATCTTTGTTCATAAATCTTGGCCAAAATGTATTCAGTTATCTTTTTAGTAAAAACAAATAACCCAAATTAGTTTATAACCCAAAATTATAATTTTTAAAATTATTTTATTTTTTTATTATTATTTATGATGTTTTTTTATTTACATACTGTCACCCTAGCAGTACAGTATCACCATGGTGACACTGTACTACTTGTGGGGGGTTATGAAGATTTTTTTTTTTTTACATTGATTGCTTTTACACCCATAAAGGCTGTAAAAGTAATCATTTCCCCTTCTTTCTGGCTGAAGCCATTGAGAAATACTGTGTGAGCGGTGATTGGTCACAGCTTGCCACATGGTACAAGACTGTTGAGAATAGCCTTGTACCATGTGACCTCTGAACATTCACAGATTTCACACGTAGTAAGCAATGATGTCAGAAGTGACAACTTGCTTACTACTCTTCATGCGATTGGCCTATCCGTGATCACATGATCGGGACCTTGCACAGAGGTCCCGTACAACGATCAGTGTTCCACTGTGTCTGGAGGAGCGCGCACAAGCAGGGGGCAGGGAGGTCGTTTATAAACGGCCACCCGCCCCTGCACTGTCACCGTCCGGCCATTTATATACAACGGCCAGACAGAAAGTGGTTAAAGAGACCCAGTCACAAACCTAAAATTTGCAGGTATCTGAACTTTCTATAAAACTTGACTACACTGTAAAAAGTTGGGCATACATGGGTTTGCAAATTTTCGATCAGCCAGGGGGCTGATCAAAAAAAAAAAAAATATAAGTAAATATATGGTAAATGCACACATAATCATAGGAAAAGATTTTTGCTGAAATTAATGGTCTTGTGAGAAGGTCTCTTTAAGCCAAACAACTGCGGTTCTCACAAGTTCAGCAAAAGTAGCTCATGTGTTTTACCTTGACAGATTCATTTTAAAACTGGATGAAAACCAGAGGGTTGCCTTTAGCAACTAACCAATAGCTAGCCGTCTGATTGGTCAATGAGTGGGTAACACCTCCACTGTTTCTGTCCTACAGTACTGAACAGGAGGATCCATCATGGGAAACAAACATCAGAAGATGGTCCCACTCTGTCTACACGTCCACAGACAATGCAAAGAAAGGAGAATCGTGTTGCTTTAATGAAAAAATTATTAAAAGAGGTAATCCTGCCAACCAGTTTTAACTAAAAAATAAGATTTTGAAGGACACAGCTTTTAAAAAAAACTTGAAAGAAAATTTGAACTAAGGAAGAAGGTGTTAAAGTGGAATTCCAGTCAAATTCTAACTATGCCTAAATCTACTCCCACCCCCATTCTGAGACACTTCTATCTAGTCTGTAAAAGAAAAGAAGTCTAGGTTTACCTATTCTGAAGTTTCTCTGGTCCGGTCACATGATCAGGTCCCAGCATCAGCTTCAGTGTAGAGGAGGGACAGCTGACAACAGTTGCCCCATAGTAAGCCCCATAAGGGTGACAACACCTCCCAGACTCTGCAGCCATTGTCGCTGCCTCTCCTCAACACTGAAGCAGATGCTGGCACCCGATACTTACCAAAATAGGCAATTATAGACATCTTTTCTTTTACAGGGTAGTTAGAATAGTTTTAGAATGGGAATGGAAGTAGATTTAGGCTTAGTTAGAATTTGACTGGATTTCCATTCTGGCTGTCATGATGATCCAATGGCTTTAATACTTTCTAAATCACTGACCTGAAAACATATCTATATTTCAGTTCTGACTTCATGACTTTCCTGGTCTGCATGTTGGTTCCAGGAAATACAGAGACCACTAAAAAGCAGCCAACTAACATTTTCATAAGGAGATCATCAATGAAAGCCCACATATTTATTGCATAACAGGGTTCATTGGAAGAGGAGTTCTGCTTTCCTGGAAATACTGCAATTAGGACAAGTGCTTCTTTTTCATCTATGATTTTATATATATGCTTTTTTTCACTCATTACTCAACTCAAATCTAATCACTTAACTTAAAATAAAAAAAAAATAAAAAAAGGGGGGGAAATACCTGCTGTCTTTGGTAAGCAGAGAACGTCCGCTCAATGTCTTCCAAATCTAATATTTTGAAAACCCTACTGTCATCTAGGTCGACCCAGAGGGTCCCCTCCAACTTGTTCTGCAACAGAGTCATACAGACAATTGATAAAGCATAGCAAGCACCCATATATTATTTAACACAAATATCTTTCAAACAGTTACCTCTGCCAGCTTAGACCAATTGAAAGATTTGAGTGGATTTGTTGGCTGGGGTATATTTTTCCTTTTCAAAGCAGCACCTAGAGGTGCCCCAGGTGGTGCAGTCATTCCTCCTAGAAATGGAAGTCCTGGGGGAGGAGGTGGACCACCAGGGGGCGGAGGAGGAGGGGGTGGAGGAGCCATCCCACCAGGTAGTGGTGGAGGAGGTGGGGGTGGCGGAGGCATCATATTCCCAGAAGGCAAAGATACTGGCCCACCCGGTGCTCCAGGCGGAGGTGGAGGTCCTCCAGGTACAGGAGGGCAGACTGTTCTCTACAAAATAACACAAAAAAGACACATAATTAACTTCAGCTAAGACTGAATATTTACTATAGAACAAAGAAAATATTTTTGCAAAATGGACAAATGTAAAAGGTGAGGAACCTGCTACCTAGACAGGCTAGAAGCTCAAGATATGAATGCCTGAAGGTTCTCATCTCCATCACATAAAAGGGGAGATGTACCGTTTTCCACCAAGAGAGAATGGGGCAGGTCTGACAACACTGCATGGGATTTCAGTGCGGCAGAGGCAGTGCTGCAAGCTCACTACAGCTTCTGCCAGGATCCACATGTATTTTCCCTACTTGCAGCATTTTTAAAAGGGCTCCATTCACACTTCAAAAATTGTGCAATTTTCACTGAGACTTTACAGTGTGACTTGATCCAACTTTAATGTGACTCTGTATGAATGTGACTTTTAGCAAGGATGACTGTCTGTGCTGTACAAAGTCACACACAAGTCACATATATCATTCAAGTGTGACTTTCATCCGACTTTGGAGGGTTTACATTGAAGTCTATGGCCCTCAAGCATGAAAGTCGGACCAAAGTAGTGCAGAAACTACTTTCAAGTTGCTGCAACTTGAAGTCACACAGGTATAAATGGTACTCATTGGGAAACAAAGTGTGTGACTTGTCCTGCAACTTTGGACCCAAAGTTGCATGACAAAATCACACAAGTGTGAATGGGCTCTAAACCTGGGGACATTTACATGTACTTGAATATATTACAATCTAGAACTGTATATCACTTCATGGGGTAATTAGGCTTATTTCACAAGGTATTTCAATGAATGGTAGTAATCCATAGCAACCAGATTTCATGGTTGATCAATTTAAGGCATAACTCTAGGCAGCTAACTATATATACAGATGAAAAACATATACAAGTCATGCTTGTCAAAAATGTGTATGTCCATTTAGTTCTAAAACTTCTCCGCCAAAAGCATAGCCTTGTCTGGCAGGGGCACCTCATTTTTCTCTGCTGTGGTTAGGTAACATTTTCAGGTTTTCTCACTCCCCTAACCTGTGAATGGACAGTGAAGGATAAGCAGCAGACTGATGAGCTCATCTTTCTGCTCTCTTCTTCTACTAGCATGTCTTGCTAGTGCATGAGCACTGCAGCCACAAGTGACTTGGCTCTCCTTGTGCGGTTTCTATTTTTTTCAGTCTAAGCTATGCTGTACAGGGGGCTGCTTCCAGTTAAAAATACATTTAATGATGTACAGTAATAAATAATACAGAGCTGTATAAATTTGTTTTTTTAATGCCTGCCTGAAGTTACATAGTTAGTCTGGCTGAAAAAAGACAAAAGTCCATCCAGTTCAACCATTAAAAAAAAAAAAAAAAAGTTCTAATCCTATACTCACAGTTGATCCAGAGAAAGGGAAAAAAAAACCAGCAAAGCATGATCCAATTTGCTCCTGCTGGGAAAAAAATTCCTTCCTGATCCCCCGAGAGGCAATCGGATATTCCCTGGATCAACTTTACCTATAAATGTTAGTATCCAGTTATATTCTGTGTATCTAAGAAAGATTCCAGGACTTTTTTGAAGAAATCCACTGAGCTGGCCAGAACCAACTCTTGAGGAAGTCTATTCCACATTTTCACAGCTCTCACTGTGAAGAAACCTTTCCGTGTTTGGAGATTGAATTTCTTTTCCTCCAGACATAAAGAGTGCCCCCTTGTCCTCTGTGATGACCTCAGGGTGAATAACTCTACACCGAGTTCACTATATGAACCACTGATGTATTTATACATGTTGATCATATCCCCCCTTAATCTTCTCTTCTCAAGAGAATAAATTCAATTCCTCTAATCTTTCCTCATAGCTGATCTCCTCCATGCCTCTTATCAGCTTAGTTGCCCTTCTCTGTACTTTCTCCAGTTCCCCAATGTTCTTTTTGTGAATTGGTGCCCAAAACTGAACTGCATATTCCAGATGAGGTATTACTAATGATTTGTACAGGGGTAAAATGATATCTCTCTCTGGAGTCTATACCTCTTAATACAAGAGAAGATTTAGAAACCGCAGCTTGGCATTGCATGCCATTATTAAGCTTGTGATCTACCAGAACCCCCAGATCCTTCACCATTGATTCCCTCAGTTGTACCCCCTAGTATGTATGATGTATGCATACTCTTAGCCCCCAAGTATATAACCTAGTTCAGCTTTAAAGGGATTGTACCAAGACTCTAGAGTCTGCCTGCTTTATATAAGCAAAGTTGAAGGTCTGAGACATCTCAAAAAGGTAAAACACGTTAGTCACAGATGACTACAATGACAGTGCCTTACTTTGCTGAGCTCTTGTATTTGTGCTGTGAGCTCCATCACTTGTTGTTTGACCTGCTTATTTTCACAAGACTCCTTTTCTAGCTTCTCCTTCATCTTGTTCAGAGTCTGCATCATCTCCTCTTTCTCCTGAGTTTTGGCATCACACTCCCGCTCTTTCTTCTCCAGCTTTTGCTGCAGCTCTTGGTGTTCTAGGATAGGATAGGATAACATGACATGCGTTACTAGATACAGAAATAAAACCCATGACATTGTGCGTGCACATTACACAATAACAGCTATAAGTTATAGTTCTATATATTTTTTTTTACTTTTTATTTGTGCATTATAATTTTGTCAGGAACAATATTTTTTTTTACAATACAATATTTTTATTGAGGTTGCAAAACAGATCAATAATTTTTTTAAGAATAATTAGGAGGCTACGCAGCAGGGTGTTAACAAGAACATTACACCCCTTATTTTATTTGGAGTTCAAATATTTAGATTAGATTAAAGCTGGCTACACTTCTTATAATGTGAGTGTGCCTGGATTTGAATTTAATGAATTGTTTAGGTGTGACTTTGCATTACATATTTGTCAATACCTGTAATGGCGATTGTACAATCAAACTGCAATGTATTTGCCTAGCTTAAGCCTTTAGTAACCAAGTCCATCTAAATCTGATATACAGTGGATATAAAACGTCTACACACCCCTGTTAAAATGTCAGGTTTCTGTGATGTAAAAAAATGAGACCGATAAATATTTTCAGAACTTTTTCTACCTTTAATATAACCTATAAACTATACAACTCAGTTAAACAACAAACTGAAATCTTTTAGGAGGGAAGTAAAAATAAAAAACTAAAATAACATTGTTGCATAAGTGTGCACACCCTTAAACCAATACTTTGTTGAAGCACCTTTTGATTTTATTCCAGCACTCTGTCGTTTTTGGTATGAGTCAGCATGGCACATCTTGACTTGGCAATATTTGCCCACTCTTCCTTGCAAAAACACTCCACATCTTTCCGATTGCAAGGGCATCTCCTGTGCACAGCCCTCTACCTACCTGTTCAAGCTGAAGAAAAACAGCCCCAAAGCATGATGCTGCCACCACCATGCTTCACTGTGGGTATGGTGTTCTTTTGGTGATGTGAAGTGTAGTTTTTGCACCAAACATATCTTTTGGAATTATGGCCAAAAAAATTCAACTTTGGTTTCATCAGATCATAACACATTTTCCAACATGCTTTTGGGAGACTTCAGATGAGTTTTTGTAAAATTTAGCCAGGCTTGGATGTTTTTCTTCGTAAGAAAAGGCTTCCATACCACATAGCCCAGACAGAGTAAGAGTAAGTCACAATTGCCACATGTACTACACAGCCAGTACTTGTCATATATTCATGCACCTCCTTTAATGTTGCTGTAGGCCTCTTGGCAGCCTCCCAGACCAGTTTTCTTCTCGTCTGTTTATCAATTTTGGAGGAATGTCCAGTTCTTGGTTATGTCACTGTTGCACCATATTTTCTCCACTTGATGAGGACTGTATTCACTGCACGGTGCTCCATGGTATATCTAATGCCTTGAATATTATTTTGTACCCTTCTCCTGACTGATACCTTTTAACAATGAGATCCCTCTGGAAGCTCTCTGCGGACCATGGCTTTTGTGGTAGGATGCGACTAAGAAAATGTCAGGAAAGACCTACTAGAACAGCTGAACTTCATTCGGGATTAATCAGAGGCACTTTAAATGATGGCAGGTGTGTGCTGACTCCTATTTAACATGATTTTGAATGTGATTGCTTAATTCTGAACACAGCTACATCCTCAGTTACAAGAGGGTGTGCACACTTATGCAACCCCATTATTTTAGTTTTTTATGTTTACTTCCTTCCCCTAAAAGATTTTAGTTTGTTGTTCAATTGAGTTGTACAGTTTACGGGTTACATTAAAAGGTGGAAAAAGTTATGAAATGATTTATCTTTGTCTCATTTTTTATATCACAGAAACCTGACATTTTAACAAGGGTGTGTAGACTTTTTATATTCACTCTATCAGTTTTGTATGAGCGCCAAAACCTGATTTACTCAAAGGTTACTTGTATCTCTTGGATAGATCCACCTGAGCTCTGAAATTATGATGTCCAGCAAAGTTGTGTAGCTTCTCCTTCTGCATTATAAGGCTTCATGTGCACTGGGTGTTTTTTTTTTTTTTTTTTTAACTCTCCTAGAAGACTTCCTCCTGGCAGCAGTGTTTTGGCAACAAAAGTTGTTAAAGTGTAAAAGTGTGTGTGCATTTAGGCATGTTTAGCCTCATCAAGCATTTGAGTGTTAATTTATTTCAATGGCCAGAATAAATGATTTATTCTGGCTATTGAATTGAATCAATGCACAAGCGCTAAGCATGCCAATTTATTTTTTTCTAGCCTAGTTTTTTCTGCTACAACTCTGCTACTCCTGGATGCACTGGCAGTGGGTTTTTCTTCCTGCCTCTAAACTGTGCTGCCACTAAAAGTTTGTGTGCATTGACAAATAGGCTAACATGCACGGAAGTTCAAAGGCAGGAAAAAAAAAACAGATTCTCCTAGGAGCAGCTGTAAAATGTCCAGTGTGCATGAGGCCTAAAATATAAAATAAATGAAGAATGGTGGAAAATGCCAACCTTATGATGGTTGTGGTAAGCTGGTGCAGCTGGGAAATCTATACTAGACTCTTGTAGACAGAAGACAAGGGACATGTAAATAGACCAAATGGTGTTAGATTCCATTATATCAGTTATGGATGGACCTGCCCTCTAAAACGCCTAATTCCCAGTACTACATACTGCAGAAACCTCCTGACAGTTCAAAATGGACAAAGAAACAAATGTACCTTTCCTCATCTTCTCGGCCTGCTCCTTCCATTGCTTGACTTCATTCTCATTAACCAGCCTGAAAACATTAAAGTAGTACTTTGGTTTACTGGAAATCATAGTAGCCAAATCATGTGACAGCAGAAATTCAGGAATCTGTTCACGTCAGTTTACCTCCGACACCATTTCAGGGCCACATGCTGCCTTGTACTTCATAAACTCAACTGATCTTATTTATAGAGTTGTACTATTGCTTTATTCTTTATTCATCTGGACTGTGACTGAGCCAAGTTAGCCTGTCTGCTATTCTAGCCATGTGGAACCCTTGGCTTCTTTGAGCTATGGTTGATTGATTTCTCATTTGATGGTGCTCGCATGGCTCTGCGGCCAACACAACTTAGTGGGGCCAACATTACTTGGTAGGGCCAACTGCAGGACACCAATGATTTTTTATTTTTTTTTGTTTGTGAGGGCGGCAATCTGACCACCACTGTTGGGGGAAGAGAGACATTCTTTCAACTGACCCCCCAGTGAACTGGTTTTGGCTAAGACCTACAAATTACTTGAAGGCTTCTTCTGGCATGAAAAGGTTAAGAAAGGATGTTCTAAAGCAATACAAGTCCTCTTAAGAGCAGGCACTGCAAGGTATCTGCTATAACTAAGAGGAGTACCCTCCTCTTAGAATATGTAACTGGCTTATTACAAACTACCCTGTTACTTGACGCCTGTGACTTCAAAACCAAGCCCCACCCACATCTTCCTTATCCAATTAGAGTGTACTTATTGCCTTAAGATTGCAGAATTCAAGCCCTTAACTACAACAATTAAAATAGATGAAGTTTGCAGATTTATGCATTTTATATTATACAAGTAACAATGCTCTAAATAAAGATCTAAATTTTTGCTTTTATGAACACTGAAGACTTACATTCGAACAACATTTTTGACATTAAAATTCTCCAGTGGGGAGATGTCCGCATCTTGCCCTTTGTCATTCTGGATGACGATTTGTTGAACTATTCTGTCCAGAAGTAGCCAGTAATGCACAGTGTTGCCGCTTCTTTTATCTAGAAGAAAAAAAAAATAAACTATGAATAAAACATTCACAAATAACAAGGACATGGCCTTCTACATACAATGTTTCAGATAAGTTATCGTGTTCTTGGAAGAAACAAAAATAATCAATTGTCACTAAACAAGTGTTCTATAAATATCTGTGACGTGGCAGAAATGCAATGGAGAGAAAACAGCGGAGCCAGCCAAAAAGATATAAGCAATGTCAGCTGGGCGCCAGCTACTATGAAGTTATGATCTAAGAACAGTTAAGTGTCTTCTCAACACTGGGGTGCAGCAGACATATTACACAGCCCAGGCCAACAGCAACAGCCGACTATCACAGCTGTCCAAGCAGAAAACTCTGAAATGTTAGTAAAGGTCGTGGTCATCCAGGAGGATGAAACCGGTTTTATCAAGTGCTTTTATCAGTGCTGATAACATTATGAAATCAAGCCAAAATGTAAATGTATATTCCAGGCAGAACAGCATCAACTCAAGACCTTCAAACTATGCAACACAAAATGAAACCTGTGCATTGCATTAGGATCTGCCCTCACTAAAGGATCATCATGTACCATGGATTCAGCTATGATCTCATCTCAGTTGCCCACATGCACTGTCATGCAAGCCTTTTGGGAAAAAGTAGTGATTAGCACATGCTGAGAAACCCTACTGTCATTGCTTCCCCAAGATAAGCCCATTGCTGATGATATCTGTAACTTGCCTCCCACTCTGTAGGCAAACCACGAAGGACTGGCAATGCCAAACAGCAGTCATGCCCAGTGACTGGCACCCTTTCTTGAGGGCAGTTGAATTGTGCCTACACATCCAACCACTCACAGGTGTCTTTAGCCAGAATTGTTCCTCCACCAATCACTTTCTGAAAGCTCTTTTTCTAAATTCATAATAAAATGACACATAATCCACACTGCTGGAATATTTCAGTCATGAATGAATAATTTAATTTTTACAAGCAATATTCAAATTTGTTGTATCTCATGTTAAATGCTTAAGATACCAACTGCAATTGCTTGCAAAGCCAACATCTTTGAAAGACAGTTTTCTGAAATATAACAGTTTAAATTCTTGTGCAATAAAAGCTGATTGATTCTTGATGAATGATCTTATTCTCATGCCATGGTGCTAAGATGTAATAAAGAACTTTGACTCGTTCTTTCTGCCCCATATCTAATCACTGTCTAAATTTTGCTTCCTTAACCTACACAAAATTACAAAATCTGATCTTTCTTAAAACCTGGTATACACTAAGTTTTTTTCATTCAACCCAGCGAACGGAGAAAAAAAAAAACCTGACATCACGAAAGTCGTCCAGTTTCTAATGTAACAGCTGATTTCAGCCAATAATCGGCCCATGTGTACCCGGCATAACAACGGACACCACAAGTTCCTAGTTCATTCCCTTTCTCACCTCAACTATTGCATCTGTCTCATTGGCCTACCGCTACAAAAGCTATCCCCCCCTTCAGTCTATTAGAAATGCAGCTGCCAGATTTGTCCACACTTTACCAGCCGTTCAGTGGCCCATCACCAGAGGCCAATCCCTGAACTTCTTGTCCGATTAATAAATTTCAAAAAACTAACATACAAATCCATCAACTCTGTTTCACGCTACATCACAAACCTTGTCTCAAAATATCATTCAAACTAGTCTTTCTGCTCCTCCCAGGACCTCCTGCTCTCTAGCTCCCCAGTTACCTACTCCCAATTCTTGCCCCCAGGATTTCTCCAAAAATTCTCCCTTGCTCTGGAACTCCTTGCCCCTATCTCCCACACTGTCCATCTTTTGGCAACCCCTGAAAACTCATCTGTTGAAAATGCCAATATACCTCTGGGATATTGTAATTTGTTAAAAAAAATTGAGATAATATGCATGGACATCGCAGATAGTGATGAAGCCTCACCTGCAGGATGAGTGCTGAAATTTTGTGAAATTTGCTCCCCAGTGGATACCAATTAATTTTGCTGAAATTTCACAGAGGGAAAAATTACAGTTTCAACAAAATTCAGTTAGTCTTCAGCAAAATCTTAGGCCATTTTCAATGAAATGCTATAGAGTGGCACACTTGGGTAACACTAGACAAACTAAACTTTAGAACAGTCTAAGAATGAGTTTATCTTCACACACTTATTTGTGTTGACTTTATGACTGCCTCAACATGATTTTTGGTGGAAAGCTGGTTCACGTAGGAAGATCTCCTGATAGCAAGGCTTCAAGAAAGTCATCTTTGTCATAAGATATTATAAAATGATAAAGTGCTGATTTGATAATGAGGTGCTACACCAAAGAATTACAAGAGATAAAGTGAGGTGTGTGTGGTTAAGAAAAAAAAAAATTCATAATTTGCATTTTGTTATACTGGATTAGCCAATAGCACTAATCACAGACCAAGGGTAAAACAATATCACAGACCAACACTACAGCCTGTGTTCCCTGCACATCCCAACACATACAAGAGCTGCACTCCATGAGTTGCAATAGAGATTGTTCCCATTTGTCACTTGTTTGTATTCAAGCCTTAGAATATGATGATGTCTGTTTTATTACACGTCAAAACAAGGTTAGACTTGGTTGTGTCATTAGATTTTCTTAACCTGTAAGACATCCCTTTAGTGGCCTCCATACTTACAAGGCATTTGGAGGCAGTGGTGTAGAATAGACATAAAGTGCGGATAGGATTCGGAGTGCGTTATTCTCTTCCGAATCAGCTCAAACATCTGAGTGGCACTCTTAGTGTCTATGTGGACCTGTGTAGAGAAAAGTACGCATTCAGAGATTGGTGTAGAGAAAGGAACGCATTCGTTCACCCCCAACCCAATAAAAAAGGAACTGAAATGCTCACCAGCTCAAATCGTTTAGCAAATTCAAGCTCATCTTCATTTCGCAGCATTTCAAAGAAATCTAAATGCCTATTAGTAAAACAGATTACAAGGGTATAATAAAAATGCTTCTGGTGTCTTTAGTATTATACATACATAATCTTTATTAATAATCATTCTCTATGATAAAAAGAACAATGCTTTTCCCACACTGTCCTAGATTCTCCTAGATTACCATTAAAAGTGCCGCAAGCAGCAGAACTATTTATACAACTTTACAAAAATGAATGTTGACATTTCTATGAAAAGGAAGAACTGATTTGCTGTACGTATTAGTATATTGTTGCCTGTGTTAACATTTGGCATTTAGACAAAAAAGTAATTTTTAATGTTATCAGCCATTTCAGGCTGGGAAGACTCTGAGGAAGACCATCAGAACAAAGTAGCGACTGTGTCCTTCAGGAAGATTGCAGGAGAGGAGACTTGGGGGGTGTAACAAAATCCATCCTCACAACTGCTACTTTATGTCATATACAGTCATGGCCGAAATTGTTGGCACCCTTGATATTTTTCCTGAAAATCAAGTATTTCACACAAAAAAGGTATTGCATTAACACATGTTTTGCTATACACATGTTTATTCCCTTTGTATGTATTGGAACAAATATAAAACAGAGGCAGAAAAGCAAATATGACATAATGTCACACAAAACCCCAAAAATGGGCTGGACAAAAGTATTGGCACCCTTAACTTAATATTTGGTTGCACACCCTTTGGAAAACATAACTGAAATCAGTCGCTTCCTATAACCATCAATAAGCTTCTGACACCTCTCACCCGGAATTTTGGACCACTCTTCCTTTGCAAACAGCTCCAGGTCTCTCTTATTGGAAGGACACCTTTTCCCAACAGCAATTTTAAGATCTCTCCACAGGTGTTCAATGGGATTTAGATCTGGGCTCATTGCTGGCCACTTCAGAACTCTCCAGCGCTTCTTTGCCATCCATTTCTGAGTGCTTTTTGACGTATGTTTGGGGTCATTGTCCTGCTGGAAGACCCAGGATCTTGGACGCAAACCCAGCTTTCTGACACTGGGCCCTACAGTGCGACCCAAAATCCTTTGGTAATCCTCAGATTTCATGATGCCTTGCACACAGTCAAGGCACCCAGTGCCAGAGGCAGCAAAACAACCCCAAAACATCATTGAACCTCCACCATATTTTACCGTAGGTACTGTGTTTTGTTCTTTGTAGGCCTCATTCCGTTTTCGGTAAACAGTAGAATGATGTGCTTTACCGAAAAGCTCTATCTTGGTCTCATCTGTCCACAAGACGTTTTCCCAGAAGGCTTTTGGCTTACTCAAGTACATTTTGGCAAACTGTAGTCTTGCTTTTTTATGTCTCTGTGTCAGCAGTGGGGTCCTCCTGGGTCTCCTGCCATAGCGTTTCATTTCATTTAAATGTCGACGGATAGTTCGCGCTGACACTGATGCTCCCTGAGCCTGCAGGACAGCTTGAATGTCTTTGGAACATGTTTGGGGCTGCTTATCCACCATCCGGACTATTCTGCGTTGCAATCTTTCATCAATTTTCCTCATCCGTCCACGACCAGGGAGATTAGCTACAGTGCCATGGGTTGCAAACTTCTTGATAATGTTGCGCACTGTGGACAAAGGCAAATCTAGTTCTCTGGAGATGGACTTGTAACCTTGAGATTGTTGATATTTTGCCACAATTTTGGTTCTCAGGTCCTCAGACAGTTCTCGTCTCCTCTTTCTGTTGTCCATGCTTAGTGTGGCACAGACAGACACACAATGCAAAGGTTAAGTGAACGTCTCTCCTTTTTATCTGCTTTCAGGTGTGATTTCTATATTGCCCACACCTGTTACTTGCCCCAGGTGAGTTTACAGGAGCATCACATGCTTGTAACATTCTTATTTATCCGCAGTTGTGAAAGGGTGCCAATACTTTTGTCCAGCCCATTTTTGGAGGTTTGTGTGACATTATGTCGAATTTGCTTTCTTTCCTCCCTTTTTTTGTTTTGTCCCAATACACACAAAGGGAATAAACATGTGTATAGCAAAACATGTGTTAATGCAATACGTTTCGTGAGAAATACATGATTTCCTGGAGAAATATCAAGGGTGCCAACAATTTCGGCCATGACTGTATATATTTATATCTAGTTAATATCCTGAGACTAAAGCCTAGTACACACAATCAGAAAATTGTACAAAAAATACCAGTTACGAAGTGATCGTACAATAATCTGATCATTAGTACACAGATATTTGAAGGTACAAGAATGAAAGTTTTTCTCGTACGATACCAGATCGTGCAACTTTTGTTTAATCAATTCGTAACCTCTTTATTTTTGATATGGAGACTAGCATGCAAAAAAAAAAAAAAAAAAAAAAATAGACAATCGTTTGTCCGATATCTTCATCCTGTGATGGAGCTTTAGGCTGGCCATAGCTGGAGTGAATTCTTCACCACCTGTTTTAAACCCATGATTGCCATGCAATGCGCAATCGCAACACAGTAGCATGAGAAATAGACGTTTGAGAAGTGACACTGCCTGGTGATCTTTGACTTCTCTCCCATGTTGTTCAGGTAGATGTCCATCTGTTAAAGGTTGCATACCCTCACTCTAAACTATCTGAGTTCCCAACTATGAGACATACAATATATAGCAATTCACAAACACAGAAGGAGGAAGCCCCATCCTCAGAAGTGAAGCAACACACCAGACACATTTGCATTTGAGAGACAGCTGAAGACTTCCAGTCTGTGTCTGGACTAATCCAATAAAGAAACAATGTCAGCCACTCTAATCTGCTTAAAACTAGCAAAAAAGTGAAAAGTGCACATTGGCAGGGCAATGTACAAAACTATATATTTACCTGTCAAGTGTCGAATTGTCATGTTCACGGAGTTTATCAATTACTGGTTGAATCCCCAACATTAGAAATTCGTATCTGAGGTGAAGTCGGAAATCCAGGCTTTCCTTGAATACAAACGCAAGTTCTGGGTCAGAAATAGATCTGATATTTCAAAATCAACTATTTTATTAAAAAAACACAAAAAAAAAAAAAAACAACAGACACAAAAAAAAACAAAAAACCCTTTAACCATTTTTCGTAGCAGTAGGGGAGAGTAAATGTGAATTTCTGACACCTTCACAAATTAAAGGACGAGTTCACACCTTTAAAAAAAAAAAAAAGTAATAAATGCACATTTTTGCAGGTAAAAAAAAAAGTGCATTTTTTTTATAGGAGCCTGGAAAGCATTGCTGGTGCCTTGCAGGATTCCTGCAGACTGCAGGTGTAAGCTGTCTGCCCGTACATCATACAGGCAGGCAGTTACACAAAGAAGGGGAGCCTCAAACTACTAGAACGTTCAACAGCGCCACTGAGAACTACAAGTCAGCAGCCGCAAAGGATGTCGGTACTTGTAATTCATTCATCCATACAATTCTGAATGAATGACGTGGTCATGTGGGTGGAGCCCTGCATGACTGCGTGCTTTTCAAAAAGTGACAGCTGGTACAGGGAACTTCTCCCTGTAGAGCTGTCACACAGAGGCAGCTGAAGGAGCTAGAACATGTTACATGTTCCACCCTAAAAACGGGTAGAACATGTTCCCAAAGGTGAACTTATCCTTTAATAGTCTGTGCCTAAAGGGCAGGTGTCGACAGAAACTCAAAAGGCTGTCAAGCCCCATCTGTATGGAGGTTGCATTTGCCAGTTTTGCTGAGAACAGAGCAAAATATCCACATAGGACACAGTCCTGCAGAAATGCATTGCACTGAGATCTGCAAAGTAGTAAACACAAACATACAAAGGCTACAACAAGCCGTAGATGAGTTGCTTTTGCGCTACACAGTTCACCCTGATGAAGGCATATCTCTGTTGGCCTCATATGGACAATACATCTACCTTAACTGTTCCATTACCACATCCTAATAGAACAGCACGTGGAGGAATCAGGTGTCTTAAACAGTCCTATCACTGCAGCACGAAGGACATTGTGCAGAAATTAGTGACCTCGGTGAGTACATATACATTTATACATACACACACATATACATTAATACTTACCACACCTGCTCCTTGGCTCAGAACAGCATTAATGAAGGACATGATGGCAGTCTTAAGGCTCACTTCATCACGGTACCTTCCTGTACTCCGGTCCAGGTCATTAATCAGGGTCTAAAAAGTGTCATAATAAAAAAATGGATTATTTAAGAATCACTGGGTATAGTCTTACTCTAAGTAAAAACTTTAAACACACGTACATTAAAAAAAAAACAAACAAAAAAAGTACATGGTAAAAAAAAAAAAAAAAAAAATTATATATATATATATATATATATATATATATATATATATATATATATATATATATACACACACACACACACACACACACACACACACACACACACACACACACACACACACACATATATATATATATATATATATATATATATATATATATATATACACACACACACATATATATACACACACACACACACACACACACATACATACATACACACACAGTTTGTGTTACAGTTCAACCACAGTTGGAATAAACATTCATATATATGCTGAGCAAACTGTTGGCGCTACATAAGTCCTGTATAATATATATGTATATATATATATATATATAAAAGATTATTCCAACTGTGGTTAAACTGTATCAAATATCAAACTGCGTGTGTCCAAACTTTATCCAAAACGAACAACTTTTTATAACAATGCAAAAAAAAAGACAACCAAAAAATAAACCAAAAGTATAATGAGAGCGCTATGCTTATGCTTTCTTGGACAAACTGTTTACTTATTATAGGAACATAATTCTGATCAATGAACTAATTACTGCCTGTAACAGGCAAAAATGTTTTATGTAGCATCTAATTAGTGGGCAGTGCTCATTATATAAATTACAATGTGCTTCATGACACATAAAAAGCCATAAGTGCAAATTTAATATTTAATTCAAAATCCAAATGAAATAAAATTTTAAATAAAAGCCACGAGTGCAAATTAGAGGGTACTGGTTGCTGACACACAGTACATTCTTTGCCGAGTTCTGCTATTCGCCAAATTCAGTAGAAACGTGCAAAGTATTAATCTGAAGAAAAACCGGCACAAAACTTTGAAAATTCAAAAAACGAACACAAAACATTAACAATTATTACTGAATAGCCACTACAGAGTGTTTTGCAACTGAAGTATGGGAAGGTTTATGAATGCCTATTACAGTGGATATAAAAAGTCTACACACCCCTGTTAAAATGTCAGGTTTGTGTGATGTAAACAAATTAGACAAAGATAAATCATTTCAGAACTTTTTCCACCTTTAATGTGACCTATAAACTGTACAACTCAATTGAAAAACAAACTGAAATCTTTTAGGGGGAGGAAGTAAACAAACTAAAATAATGCGGTTGCATAAGTGAGCACACCCTCTTATAACTGGGGATGTAGCTGTGTTCAGAATTAAGCGATCATATTCAAAATCATGTTATAGGAGTCAGTGCACACCTGCCATCATTTAAAGTGCCTCTGATTAACCCCAAATAAAGTTCAGCTGTTCTAGTAGGTCTTTCCTTACATTTTCTTAGTCGCATCCTACAGCAAAAGCCATGGTCCGCAGAGAGCTTCCAGAGCATCAGAGGAATCTCACTGTTTAAAGGTATCAGTCAAGAAAAGGGTACAAAAGAATTTCCAAGGCATTAGATATGCCATGGAACACAGTGAAGACAGTCATCAATTGGAGAAAATATGGTGCAACAGTGACTTAACCAAGAACTGGACGTCCCTCCAAAATTGATGAAAAGATGAGAAGAAAACTGGTCTGGGAGGCTGCCAAGAGGCTACAGCAACATTAAAGGAGCTGCAGGAATATCTGGCAAGTACTGGCTGTGTGGTACATGTGACAAAAATCTCCAGTATTCTTCATATGTCTGGGCTATGGGGTAGAGTGACAAGACGGAAGCCATTTCCTACGAAGCAAAACATCCAAGCCTGGCTAAATTTTGCAAAAACACATCTGAAGTCTGCCAAAAGCATGTGGGAAAATGTGTTATGGTCTGATGAAACCAAGGTTGAACTTTTTGGCCATAATTACAAAAGATATGTTTGGCGTAAAAAACAACACTTCACATCACCAAAAGAACACCATACACCAGTGTCTCAGAACACTATGGATTTTCTAAAGTTGGCACAGTAAGGCCCCATGTACACAGAACACTTCTGAATGATGGAAACTGCTGGAAAACGTAGGTTAAAAAAACGTCTGTTTAGCAGTGTTTGCATAAAGCTTTTATCTGCGTTTGTGTTTAGAGTTTTTTAAAGATAAGCACAGGAGAACCTCCCAAATGCCAAGAATGCACTGAAAAGCGGTAAATTATTAACTATTTCAGACTTTTTCAGAGAAATACAGAGAGTAGAAGCAGAGACAGCAGTATGTGTTGAAATTAGCTTAGGTGTGAGTTGCTCATTAACATTTCTTTTGTTTTCAAGGGTGGGATAGGTGTCTGGTGGAGTGAGTCAGGTGGGATAGGTGTCTGGTGGAGTGAGGGTCTGGATGAGGTATTTGAGGTGTGAATTGTCATTAACATATCTTTTGTTTCCAAGGGTAGGAGAGGTCTGAGGTGTGAATTGGTCATTACAATGTGTGACAAGCTTGGTAGGAACATCCTGTTTTCAGTGTTTTGTCCAACCAAGTACCTTGAAAACACTTTGCATGCATTTTTTCATAATGAAAAAAGGCTCTGGACAGCATCGGGAACTGGAAGAGTTACAAAAACATTTTCAGACAGAAACACTTCTAAACGAGATTTGCAGCGTCTAGCCACGTTTACAAGCTGCTGCAAACGTGAAGGAGCTGCTGCAAAAAATGCTGAACAGCTCCTAAACGTGAGTTTATCAGCTGCAGTGTATATGAGCCCTGAAAGTTCCAAGCTGAACTATATTTGTCTTTCGGAGCGCTGCAAGGCTATGCATTTCACTCTGCCCCTTGTACTAATGAGGTCATGACAGAGTTAACTATCAACTCATAGTAAAAACCTGAGATCATCAGAAGAGCTCATTATTACAGAGATTTTTTAATATATTGAGAAATCCAAACAACCACTCCTTTATCTCCATGAATAACAGAGCACACCTTTACAGTTCACTCCAAGCCACCATCAACTGCTGAATCAGATGATTAAAAGGCTGTAGGACTCAGAGTCAACAATTTGAATAAGTTCAGAAAGCTATTCTAAGATCTGGTCACATTAGCGCTGGCCACACATGGTACAGTTTGAATGTACATTCTCTTGTAGTTTTACAGATTTAAAATGAAGACCTGCCCAAGCAATCAGTGTAGAATATCTAATCAGGTAGGTTTGAAATCTAAGAATTGTACAACAAAAGTATAATATGGAGGCCAGCTTAATTTATCCGGCCCCTCCTGGTGACCCTTTAACTGGGTCTTAATACTGAAAGATGGGGCAGACTTCTGGATCATGTGATTACTGTGATTGGCTGTCAAAGTGGTCACATGATCAGAAGGCTCCCAATCACAATCAGAGACCAGTGTGTGAGAGCTTGGGCAAACCAGAGGGACAGAAATAGTTTTGGCTCTGAGATGCACAACACAAAACTATTTGAGCCAAGAAAAGAATGCTCCCCCATTTAAAGGAACATCACTTTGTTGTCTTACCTGGAAGCGCGTTCTCTCACTGGCATATTTCTGGTAGTGCACCATGGCTTCTAGAACTTTCTTGTGTCCTCCAGGGACTAAGCAAACAGCACCCATAATTTCCAACACAGCCACCTTAGTTTTGATGTTCTCAGTTGCCAGACTCTGAGCGATCACATTAATGCTCTCCAAATGGGCCAAGACATGAGCCCGTCCCTGAGAGTTGTTCATCAGCGCCTTAATGCAGCCGATGAGAGAGGTATGTATTTGAGACTCTGCTATTTCATAGTCCATGTTTTTAAGGAAGTTCAAAATGCACGTTAAACCATCCATCTCAATAAATCTGGTGACGAACCTGAAAAAGAAAAAAAAAAAAAGCGAATAAAGTAACAAAAAAAGCCAATGATTATAAATGATAGGTTGGAAGGGTTCATTAACATCAGATGCGCTGGGGTGCATTTGTGAACACATTCCTGATGCATGGCAATAAAAAAAAAAGAAAGAAAAAAAAGATTCCCTATGAATGCAGTTCACACCAGATTGTTGTGCTACATATACCCAGCGCTGAAAAAAAGTACAAGCAGCATGAACGTGTTCAAAAGCACAATGCACTGCTATTCAAAAGACTGCTTTAAATAAAGTACTGGTATACTCCGTAAAAAAAAAAAAAAATTGGAACGTGTGTAAAACGGACACAAACGCATTACAAAAATGTTATGCAAAGCGCAAAGTTAGCGTGAATCTCTCATAACAGGATGCCTTTAATGTCAAATTGTGAATACACATTCAGAGTAAAGCAACAGGTTTGTTATGATCCCCTAAATGGCATCATCATATTTTTTTACCTTCCCTTTGCTGTCCGGCCTCTCAGTTCAGCCATTGGAGAATGTAGATATGTGTGTCACTTCCAGGTATGAAAGCGCATGTGACAGTTCGATGCCAACTATTGCTGTGACATGGAAAATCCATAGCCCTGTGTAAGATACCACTCAGAGACACATAACTTTGCCTACTGTTACCATGTTCTTTTTACCTGTTATCTGAATGGGCTAATCAAGGTCCGAACCAGCTCAAATGTCCCTTTGTGTACTTTAAGAGCACCGGGCTCAGTCATTGTGAAGTTACAGTAAGTACGGAAAATGAGGCAACTACAGATCCCTATTTAAGGACCCTTTCACATAGGCGGTCTGTTTTTTTTCATCGGTTCAGTCACGTTTTTTTTCCAAGAAAAAGATCAGTTTACATCAGTTTTTTGTCCGTTTACATCAGTTTTTTGTCCGTTTACATCAGTTTTTTTGTCCGTTTACATCAGTTTTTTTTTTTATAGGGTTTTCTTCCGTACAAAAAACAAAAAAAAAAAAACGGATGTCAACAGATGAGGACATTAACGTATGCAAACAGATGATCATCCATTTACATCCACTAGGCCATAGAAATACATGTCCATAAACAGACAGATGAAAAACGGACATACGGAACACCCATGTGAAAGGGGCCTAAGCTTCTTCACAATAAGGATTGTCCTTCACTAAAAGAGGCTCTAGGATGCCCTTCTTTCCTTAAGACATTAAAGTGGAACTTCACTCTCTCAATCAACATGGACTATTTTTAATACTTATGCTGCTAGCATTAGTAATTAGATAGGAATGTATATCATATTTATTTGTTCTAAACCTTTTTTTTTTACATTTTTTAAGTTACTTCCTGGTTTCATACATCCCAGCAGACTTCAAGAGGGGAGGGAGGGTTCTCAGCTCAGCCAATTCCTGAGCTAAGGGCAGACAGATTCAAGGAAGTAAATACTACATGATTCATCTGCCCTTACTACAGATGACCACTGCCAGAAATGCCAGGGGGTGTTTTTCAAAATGATTTCACAGCAAAATAAAGCATGGAGACATGAATGGATGGGGGATGGAATGGAACGAATATGGATATTGAATGGATTCAATATACTTTGAATATTAATAATAAATTACATTGCATTATTTTGGTTTGTGGTGTTTAGATGCAGTACAGTTCCACTTCAAGTTTTTTTTATTGCACTCTGTGACCCTATAAGATTCCTTCACTCTTTGTCCCCCCATAGGAAGAAATTGGACATCCCGATCCCCTAATCGCTTCCTCTTTTTGTCCTGTTCACCAGCATCGCACGAATGGGGGGTGGAAATGACCTCAATGGAGGGACAAAGAGCAATAACATTTCTGATCACTTTCCACTTTATTCAAAGCAGAGCACCAAAATACGTCTGGGCTGGAGTTGAATTTTAATCATGATTTATAACACAAATAAAATCACAGGAAAACCTTTGCAGGATGACTGTACTAAATCCTAACAGCTCACCCAACCTAGTTCAGCTATATTTTCTTGTTCATATCTTAGATCAGTGGACATCAGGATCCAGGAATTTTGCTCCTTGCAGTGCTGTGTATCCTCCATCCTCCCTAACAGAACAGTCATCAACCTGCAGGCTGCAAATAGAAAGTTTTTCCCATTACTGCCTGTGGAGACTAGGCTTTACATCTTCAGCAGCATGTAGCCTCAGGATCTCAGAAGGGGACCAGAACACTGCAATGTGTAGGTCACAGCTACTGCAACTGGTGGCCAGCTCATCTAAGATATGTATAGGGGGGTATAGATATGACAAGCAGGGTAAATGAGGGCTGCTTGCAAGAATATTCTCTTTTATTAACAGAACCAAGCATTTATAAGCCAGTACACACTATTCGCCTCCATGCACACTGGCATTTAAGCTCCTAGAAGCAATTTGCAGCATATTTTTTTTCTGCTCGTAGAAGCTACATAGTGTTCTCCTATGTGTCCATGCACACTACTTTAGGCTATTAGCATTTTTTTTTGAGCTTTAGTTTTTTGGAGTATTTTTTCAGCAGAAAAAAAATGCTAAACGCTACTAAAATGCTCCCAACTGCTTTTTTTTCCCTATACATGTACTGTAAAAACGCTAATAAACCGCTTATGCTCCTAAACGTTTCTGAACGTTACTCTAAGCTACTAAAAATAGGTCATTACCAGCGGGGTTTATTTCAGCATTTTTTGAGCTTAAAGAAAACCGCTGGTGTGCATGGAGCCTTCATAAATATTTGAGAAGAGCTCACCTCATGGGTTTTGTCCTCAGTGCAGTTTTTAGGCTCTCTATGGTTTTGTTTCTTTCATATTCATCTTCCTTCTCCATTGCCAGCAACGTTCTCCTCTGAAACAAGGGAATAAAGGAGGTTAATTGCTTGTTCATTAACACTAACTTTGTAAAAAGCAAACCATATAATGCACACTGGGAACAGATGAAGAAGTGCCAAGATTTTAGAGCCAAAATTATTCTATTAAAAATAAAAACTTCAGCAACATTACTGACTATATTTAAAACAGTTTAAAAATGACATTATAGACCACTGATGCTGATGTCCATAGTCTGTGAATGGGTTGTGCCTTTATGTGGCTTGAGGCACCAGTAGCTGCATGCAGCAGCTGTATGGATACAACCACTGGTCCCAATTTGGCAGGGGTGCGGGTGTCCCCACTGCAGCTGCGTCCCTGTACACTTGCATGGTCTGCCAGCACCTGGAGGCTGAAGTCACATAAACACACAACCTATTCATGGACTACAAGTCTCAGCACCCAAATGGTAGCGGACACAAGGATTGTACTTTCAGTAATCACTTGTCTTGCTAACATTTATAGTATTTGTATAAAGCAGGCAACACTAGATGTGGACCGAGTCGCTGTCTCATCCAGGCTGCTGCGGGCCCACCATTTAGGAGCTGGATCTTTCATCCAGCCTTCACCGATGTAACTATCACAGCAGAGAGAAGAGCAGGAGGCAGAACAGTTGTGTGCAGAGTTGAAGACACCGCAGTGCTGAACAGAGGGCGGGAGCAGGAGCTGAACCTGCGGAAGTTAACTTTCCAAGTTAACCAGCAGGTGACTGGTTGCTAGGTGGTCCTAGAAACCAATCACGAGCTTGTTAATATGAAACATTAACTGCAGAAGCTCCTGCTCCTACCCTCTAATCAGCGCTGCCGTGACTTCCATTTGTGTGACCGAATGAGGTAGGAAGGGGCCAGAGGTGCAGGGGGCCGTGTGATGTGAAGGGGTGCCAGAGGTGCAGGGGGCCGTGTAATGTGAAGGGGGTCAGAGGTGCAGGGGGCCATGTAATGTGAAGGGGGGCCAGAGGTGCAGGGGGCCATGTAATGTGAAGGGGTGCCAGAGGTGCAGGGGGCCGTGTAATGTGAAGGGGGGCCAGAGGTGCAGGGGGCCGTGTAATGTGAAGGGGGGCCAGAGGTGCAGGGGGCCGTGTAATGTGAAGGGGGCCAGAGGTGCAGGGGGCCGTATAATGTGAAGGGGGGGCCAGAGGTGCAGGGGGCCGTGTGATGTGAAGGGGTGCCAGAGGTGCAGGGGGCCGTGTAATGTGAAGGGAGGCCAGAGGTGCAGGGGGCCGTGTAATGTGAAGTGGGGTCAGAGGTGCACGGGGCCGTGTAATGTGAAGGGGGGTCAGAGGTGAATAGGGTCAGAGGTGCACGGGGCCGTGTAATGTGAAGGGGGGTCAGAGGTGAAGGGGGTCAGAGGTGCAGGGGGCCGTGTAATGTGAAGGGGTCAGAGGTGAAGGGGGTCAGAGGTGCAGAGGGCCGTGTAATGTGAAGAGGGGCCAGAGGTATGCATCTTAGTATTAAAAGTTTGCAGATTGAAGAGTTAAGATTCTCCCCATTTCTGCCACGTCGTTTACTACTATGCTGTGAATATTCTGCTTTTCTATTTACAATACACACAGATGAATCGGTCAGCAGAGAGACACTGCTTCTGTGTTCTAGCTCAGAGCTGTATGTATTTTCAATTAGAGGCAGTCAAAAAGTGAGAGTCTATATTAAATGTTTTGTTATCGATAATTAAAAAAATATTTTTCAATGCATTTTTCATGGCCAAAAATATGGATTAAAAAATGTTTAATACCCTGATTTACATAAATGTTTATTTTATAGGCAAAAAAAAATAATTTTACAATCTTCTGTACAACCCATATTTTGGAAACGTCCTTGAAAAGGCTTCTTCCCTTCTTCCACCAAGATGATATATGATGCTTAGTCCCTATTAAGACACTACAGTTTATGCTGCTAATATGGCATGAAACACAATGTCATCTCAGATTATTAAAGACTAGGCAGAACGGGATCTGAGACTCGGAGCAGATGGTGGAGAAATATCGTGGGACTTGTTCAGGAATGGTGACCACAGTCGCTGCAGTAATTAAGCTCTGAATCACTTCAGACTCTTTAAAAAAGTAAGTAAATACGTATATCCATCGTCATTCAGACTCAAAGGACTTGACCAGAGTGCAAAGACACAAAGTTTTAATGTGTGATATTCTGCTGGAACCTTTCCTGAAAAAAAGTTCTAATACATAACTCAATATTATAAAATCATTCATAAGGCTTGGTTCAGATCTGTGCGGGTGGTGCGTTGCGGGACCCTCACAAATACCTGCAGCCGCACCACCCACAAAGAGGGTCCCGCATTCATTCTAATGGCACGCTGCCCACACTGGAAATCGCACCCGTACTGGGAACCTTTCCCAAGCAGTACATGTGAACCAGGGGTAAGTCTTAATCTTATCCTTTTTATTTTTAAATAAAAGAAAAGCAGAAATGTATAAACTGGTGGAAAAATGAAGAATATCAATTCATAGCTTCCAAGTCAGCCAA